CTGGCTCAGAATACGCAGCCATCCTCCACGACTCACTGGGGATGGAGAAGACAGAGCAGACACACACACACACACACACACACACACACACACACACACACCAAGTAATGTGTCCATGGTTACACCGTGATTGCTTAGTAAATATTCTATTTAGCGAGATCTTTCAATCTATCTTTTTCTTTGACTTTTCAACTGTTTTCCTTCTGTGACTAGGTCCAGGGAGGTCGGCTATAGTCCAAATGGATCTTACCTTTCTGAATAATATGTGCAACTATAGTCACAGCATTATATAGCACACACACACACACACACACACACACATATATATATATATATATATATATATATATATATATATATATATAATATATATATGTGACACCTGTGATGGTAATTAGTGGGCTCACTTTGAATTAACACGTCCCTTTGGTCCCATTATTTTCTGGATTGTTCCGTGAGTTAATTTTTTTAATAATTCCGTTGAAGCATGGTTGAAAAGCAATGGTGGTTACATTTCATAGATTTTTTTTTATTATTACTTTTGCCAGATTTAATTTTTTTCTGTGACAATTGTGGGTTTTTCTTTCATTGACTAAAGGGTGACAACAATTTAGTCCACATCTGCACACCTGGCTGAGGTCATTAACGAGGTAACAACACATTCTAAAACATGATAGAAACAAGAAACATGAAACATTTGCAAAACAAATAAGACAAGGTGCATATGAAAACGTGTGCATTTTAGAGATGGTTCATCACATTTTTTATCCACGGAGTAGTTAAATGGTCATTTCTTGTTTATGTCTCCTGGGAATGACTGTTGCTACTTATAAATAAAGCACTAATAAAAGACCAAAACAATGCAAGCATTCTTCTTTCCGTTGCCTTGCTTAGTTCAGGCAGTAAGTAAATATATAAACATATTATTGTAAGAATTAGATCAATAACAATAAAATAATATTTTTTATAACAGAGAATTAAGTTTTAATTCATAAACTTCAATAAATTTTAGGGTTCATCATCATCATCATAATCATGTCTTCTACCAAGCCGTTAAGTTTTTTTTTATTTAAATTAAACTCATTTTTGCATTAAGTCTGTGAAAAAAAACACATCATCTAAGCCAGATTCCTCTATTGGTATTTTTGTCCAGTCTACACATTAAATGGTGCCTTAAAACTCTTGTATAGTTTGTAAATACTACAGTGGTTTATGCTTTTTTGTAAGTTTATTTTCTTTATAAAAATGACCTTACATGCCTGCACAAGGAAATCCGTCAAATATGATAAATATTCATGCTTTTGTCTATTTTTTCAGTGAGAACTTGTACAAAACCTTGTGATATAAACTTGTTAGCATAAAGTTAGCTTAAAAGAAACACTCTTATCAGAGGAACCAGCTAAATTTCTGCCCTTTATCAGCCTCAAACCTATTTTGGTCACACAGAAGCATCTCAGCTGCTAATAAGATGCAACTGTGTGATTTAACGAGCTCTTTGGGACCTCGTTAGTGTTTCTCGGTACAGCTGGTGCAAGCAGGTCCTGAAGATGGTAGCTTTGCTTTGCTTCAGTCATTGTTCCACAGAGGTTTTCATCCCGTGAGTAAATAAACTGGATTTTAATTTAAATAATGTATGTGTTTAGGTGGAGAATCTTAGCTTTGTTTTTTGTGGATGGTGTGCTTCTTATGAGCTCTTGCTAGGAAGGGTTGTATCAGTAAAGTTGTTGGGATGAAGATCGGGACCTCCAAATCTGAGGTCTTAGTTCTCAGCTGGAAAAAGGGTGGAGAACTGACCCTGGGTCAAGGGAGAGGTGTCACCTGACGTGGAGGAGTTTTAACTCATTCGCTGCCAGCCGTTTCCTGATCGGTAAAGCCCTTCGCTGCCAGCGTTTCTCAGTTTTTACTGTTTCTTTTTAAGAGTCACAGAACGTTGCGCGCTAGGATGATGTCGACGCCAAAACAACCAAAGCAACCAAAACAAAGCGGAGACTCACCTCTTAAATCAGGAAGAATCCACACGTTTCGAGCGTTATCCGTTCTTTCATAATTCGTTGTTGAACTGTGATCGGCAGAAGCTTTTCCAGTTCGTGCCTCACGTTTTTTACAGTAGCGGCCCAAAACGATCTCCTAACACATGGATGTTCTGCTTCCTGATCACGTGACGTGTGATGTATGCAAATGAAGATCGGCTTTAGAGCTGAGATGTTTGTTCTCACGGTGCGGGGGCTCGTCCGACGCCCACACAGTAAAAAAAAAATGCAAATGACGACTTTAGTTGTCACTGGCAGTGAATGAAATAAGCATCAGAGGGAATTATTCAAGATTGAGGGAAGGAGAGAGAGGGGAGATGGACTGGTGGATCCGGGACAGTGATGCTGAAGCTGAACATGTCTAAGGAGCTAAGCCAGAAAGAAAGTGTATTTTTATTATTTTAAACTTTATTAGAGGCTAACATTCCTTTGTGCTCCACTAAGCTAAATCCCAGCTGTGTTTCTCTGAATAAAATCAAAATTTCTCGTTCAAATGTCTAAAAATGGACTTTTTGTGGCTTGTTGCTTCATCACAAGACTCTGACGTACGCTGATACAAACACGTTTTTTGTTTCCTTTCCTTACAAAGCTAGCCCTCAGTAGGAATGACTGCTTACACATCTGATGACCTCAGGGAGGGGATCTTGGAATATGGCCTCACGTATCCTCCGTTGTGTAGATGTGGAGTATTATGTAACATGATCTGAGCTGCCCCAATAAACATCACAAGCGTGAAAACTAGGGCAGAGTGCCCGGAATCCTAAGACGTCTCTCTGGGCTCTGAAACACCGGCATAATGCTGAGCTGAGCTCTGACTGCACCTGTGTGTGTGTGTGTGTGTGTGTGTGTGTGTGTGTGTGTGTGTGTGTGTGTGTGTGTGTGTGTGTGTGTGTGTGTGTGTGTGTGTGTGTGTGTGTGTGTGTGTGTGTGTGTGTGTGTGTGTGTGTGTGTGTGTGCGCGCGCGTGTGTTTTCCATTTCATGTGAAACTACTGTCTTAAGGTGATTTACAGAAATAAAATATGGGCTGCATGGTGGAGCAGTGGTTAGCGCTGTTGCCTCGCAGCACGAAGGTTGCAGGTTCGAAACTCGGCTGCGGTCTGTCTGCGTGGAGTTGCGTGTTCTCCCCATGCATACGTGGGTTTCCTCCGGGTACTCCGGTTTCCCCCACAGATCACAACATGCCCTATAGGTTATAAATTGTAAGTCGCTTTGGAGAAAAGCGTCTGCTAAATGAATAAACATAAACATATAACAGAAAAGTCATTTTTCCTCCAACGTTTCACTGAATTTAAAGAGACTATAAGGAAGTTTCACAGCCAAAACATGTATAGAAATAATAAATGTCTTCTTCATACATTCTCCTGCAATGCCCTGGTCCTGTAGAATGAGCCCTGGCATGCTTACAGTGATTGCCTGTTTTTCTGTAAAATCACAGAAAAAGAGAGATGCTCGGGTCGAGCAGGCTGCTTCATGAGCGTTCACGCTCAGGCATAACCCGTAGCATTTGCTATCCGTAGCTTTAGCAGCAGAGAGAGAGGCAGTGCCACTTTGTCGCTGTTCCTAACGCCTAGTGACAAAGCTAGCTACATTTCTGAGGACCCTTAGCTACTTTCTGTAGAACTTTCTTCTAGATATTTCCTGCAAATTAGCAACAAAATAGCCATTTTCACTCCGAACCGTTCTTTGGTTTGACGTTGTGTCAGCTGTCATCAAGGATATAAATGTTACAGATACTGTCAATGTTACTGCCGCTTTAGCTCACCCAGTAAGATGTCTGACTCTCATGCAGATGACCTGGGTTTGACTCCAGTTGTGGACATAATTTGTCATTTTGAGTTTATTTTTTTACATTAATGGTATATTTTTTTACAATAATAAGATGCCCAAATTTTTATTTGAGACTCGCCGAACGGCATTGAAGTCACAGATAAAAAAGATGTGGGTTCAACTTTCATTTTGGAACAATTTTTCAAGCAAGGGAAGGGAATGATCTGAGCATGCAGGAGGACGGACCCATCATAAACCTTTGTCGGCTGTGCTGAAGAGAAAGGTACAGAACCAAATTATTTAATTAATCAGCTGCACGTTCTCCTGTCCTCTGTCCTCCGAGCCACACACACACACACACACACACACACACACACACACACTGCACGTTCGGCCGGCCGACGAGAAAGTACAGCTGCAGAGACAGAGGCAAATTATTTTTATTAATTTGCTGTGTTCTTCTGTCCTCCGAGCCACACACACACACACACACACACACACACACACACACACACACACACACACACACACACACACACACACACACACACACACACACACACACACACACACACACACACACACACACACACACACACACACACGGGACTGTCTCAGCTGTTACATCTTTCAGTTCTTTTTAAAACACAGAAAAGGTTTATTTACCTGCAACGTTTCGTTTGCGACCACAAACGAAACGTTGTAGGTAAATAAACCTTTTCTGTGTTTTAAAAAGAACTTAAAGACATAATTTGAAACTCAACAGAGCAAGAACACACCAAAGATGTCTCAGCTGTTATTTTCATTAAGGAGCGTGCACGTACAGCATGCACACCTCATGCACGAGCTTACTTTTGAAGCTGCAGTCACGTGTTAGGCCTGAGTGGTGATCGCGAGCAAAAAAACTTTGAACTTCCTTAGAGTCCCTTTAATAAAATAGTGGCCACAAATCAATTAAAGCTGTGTTTTTTTTTCACTCTATTCCTAAAACTTTTGCTGAAAATGATAAATTAATAAATTGGAGAGATAATTAACCGTGGACCTTTTCATCATTTGCTTGCTAAATGTTTTAAATTTAAAACACTACGTTCGCTTTTGCTTCAAAATGTGTTTAGATATAATATTTCCGTAGTTGTAATCATATTAAGTCATTTTAGAAACCTATTGACCTCAAACCTTACAATCTCTCCATTCCTTATCAGCGGAGCCGAGATGATGTGCGAGGTGATGCCTACGATCAGCGAGGACACGGCGCTGAGCCAACGCGGCTCCCAGAGCAGCGCCTCGGACCCGGACTCTCACTTTGAGCAGCTGATGGTCAACATGCTGGACGAACGGGACCGGCTCCTGGACACGCTGAGAGAAACCCAGGAGAGCCTGGGATTGGCTCAGCAGCATCTCCAGGATGTTATTTATGACCGGGACTCGCTGCAGCGCCAGCTTAGCTCCGCCCTTCCACAGGTGAGTCCCGCCCATCACATGACGGTGAACATGCCCTCAAAGCTTTGTAAAAAAAAAAAAAAAAAAAACATTTTTTTTTGTAATACAAGTTCTTTCAGAGTGAGTCATCAGCTTTTCAGCGTGAAACGGCATTTATCTGGTTTGTTTCACAAATTCAGCCGGTCCTTAAAGACGTCCTGATCTTGGCTCGCCATCATCATTCTCTATGATTTATTTTATCTGAACATTTAAGCGGTCACCTTTAAGCCGGGCATTCACTGTACGACTTTTTCACAGTTTTGAGCCGATTTTCCACTCGTGCAAGAATCCATGAGATCAGGGCGAGTTTAGCGCTGAGCGTCGTGTAGTGTACAGGGGGTTACGAGAGGCCATTAACACCACGTGACCAGCTACCGATCAGCAATCGTGAGCTCGCACGGACTTCTGACGTGTTTAATATTTTGCTCGTCCCTCGTGAGGGTATCGCACTGTTGAAGCGGCGCTGCGAGCAGCTGCAACCCAAAAAGTACCAGAACCGCTCACGGCGCATGCACAATCCTGCATCAACGCAGCTCGCTCGCTATTTCCCTAATAACCCACGTTGTTCGTTTTTATTTCTACACGTTTTTTACTCACAAAGATTGTCAAGAAAGCGTGTTTGTCGTGTTCGTGTGAAATTAAACTGATCACAAAACACAGATTTACTTTCTTTATTTCGTTTTCTTCATCCAGCCCCCATAAATCCCTGTGTGTCCTCCTGCAGCACTCCCGCAGGACAACAGGCAAGACAAAAAAGCTCTGACGTGTTGTGTAAAAACTGCTATTTTTAGCATATTTTGCTACCAGACGTACAGCGTGAGCAGTCAGGTCGCAACCGAGAACTGGGTCGTACAGTGTGAGCGCACGACTCGTGAGATCTGCCCTGCGAGGAAGTCGTACAGTTTGAGCTGAAGCTGAGCGCTACGAGTGAAAAAGTCGCACAGTGTCCGCCCGGCTTGTGATGTGTGCAAGGATTCTTGCAAGGCCTCACTCAGTGATCATGAATCAAGCGTCTCAGTTCATTTGATTTATTCTACTAGTTTTCCGACAGGAATCCTGAGATGGATCCTGATCACATGGATCCACCATGTTGCAGAGCGAAAGCATAGGTAGCATCTGAGATTTTTTTGCTGTGTTTGTTTTTGCTTTTTATGATGTTTAGCATGACTTCAACGAGTCCAAGCCCAGAACAGCTATTGAGAGAAGTGAATTATGGAAGTACTGAACGGAGAGGAAAAGTGTTTTTTGTTAGTTTAGCTTGGTTTCTACTGGTTCAAGCCCAGTTCACTTGTGGGTAGATTTAGCACAAGGCTCATAGAGAGCCGTATTTATAAAAGTGTTCACTAGTTTACTAACGTTAGCTCACATTTTCCAGCTGCTGTTCACAGATGTAAACAAGTTCCTGACTTCATGTGATGAACAGCGTTTCACTTTACACGGGAGCTGGTTTCAACCAAAAGCTTCTGCGCCCCTACCAGCTCCTGTCTCTGGTGGGGTCACAGAGTTCAGATGCTACTCACACACCAGGATGAGACCAGATTTCTCTTAATGGCACCTTATCATGCTAAATTTAAACATATGTCATTCTACATTGGAAAAATATTATTATAATACATAATTATGTCACATTTCACTATAGTGGGCGTTACCGCACGTCCTCCATGGCGACATATAGGGTTATCAGTGAGTAATGTAAACGCATCCCATTCATCATTTCAGGTCCATTGGTCGGTCCCTGTCTTCCTCATGAAATACACCATCGTTAATCTTACCGGATTAAACGTGTTCACAGCACATCTGAAAACACTCGGAGGGCTGCTAGTCTGCTGGATCGCTGCGTTTCGGCTCCGTCCTCGGTCTCCATCGATGTTGTTTTAAAAAAACAAGCGGTAACACTTCCTTTTGCACTCCCCTACTTACTAAGTACTTGCATGGTAATTACATAGTAAGTTAAAGTATATTATTGTGTTATTAAAGTGTATAATTGTAATAAAGTGTAATTATTATGTAAAGCAGTATTTACTGGGAATGATTAAGAAAAATAAAAACAAGAATTGAACCTGAATTACATGGTAATAGCTGTTTAAGAATTCAGAAATAATATTACACCTTAACTTACTGTGTAGTTACCATGTAAGTACATAGTAATTAGGTGACTGTAAAAGGAAGCGTTACCAAACAAGCTAAGTTTACATCTTTGAGTTGGTGCGGCCATCTGCGCAGCAAACTCTTACCATTTTTCTGTGAAATCGACTCCATTAAAGCGATGAGGCTATGGTCTTTCTGCCAACTATCATGACCAAGGGGGCGGTCCCATAAGTGATGTGATGTCATGTGCAAAGGGTCAATAGCTGTTGTTTCCATGGTATAAAGCCGGAGCTTTGATGCAAAACTCTACAGTATTGGGTTGTCTGTACACATGTTGCACGCAGGGTCTCAGTCGTCCAGGTCACGGTAATCCAAAGGGCTCAAATGAACGCAACTGGACTTCTTTGGTTTCTTGAAGACGTTTGGCTTCTCGTCCGAGGAGCTTTATCAATTCTAACTGGAATTTGGGAGAGTCAAGCTTCTAAGCTGTGGCTGTCTGTTGTTGTGTAACAAGCAGAAACTACTCTTGAGTACCCCGCCTCTCCTTCTCTTGATGAGTCGTTGGCCTCTATTGAGAGGGAGGAATTGTGTTGATTAGATGCAGGAAGGTGTGACCTAGACTGAAACTGCTTATCTAACAACCCCCCACCCCCCAACCCCCACCCCACCCCAATTTAAAGTGGGGTTATCATGTTTGACATGGTTACCTCATGTTACTCCTCTCTAAAACCACTACCGTTTTTTTTCATCTTCAAAAGTGTGTCTCTCGTTCTTCAGGTGTAGGCGGAGTGCAGAGTCTTGAGCCGAAGAGGTGGCTCTCCTGTGTTGTGCCATGTGTTTGTGTAATTAGCTGCTTTAAGCTACAACTTTTAAACCCTTCAGATGATATCCTGTGTGGCTGGACACATTTACCATTGTCTTCTGCCCAACAACAGATCAGTTACCACATATGACTGAAATCTGGGTGTTTGTCCTCACACCTCGAGGAACGAGAGCTTCCGCAGAATAACTCCTACATGAATACGAGATTACCACGTTCTAAAAGCGTCTCAGTCATTCTTTTCACTCGCTTACACGACTCTTCTTTCCGAGACTCCGGGGGTTTGTTTACAAAGAGGAAGCGGATTTTGTTTGTAGCGCGTTGATCCACATGGTGTTAGAAACACAGGCCTGCTTTGGTGTGATTACACGTTAAAACCTAAAGTAATGTTAAACGTCAAAATGACTGATTTTATTTTGAAGGGACCTGGTGAAAGCATTTCATTATCCACAAAAAACATCTAGGTTCACATCTCTTGGCACCATCTCTTGCTGGTTTTATCTGAGGTGGCTGAATTTGAGTGTGTTCCTCTGCCATCATGGAATTTCCCACATCCTCTTGTGCAGTGAAGGCATCCCAGCCTGTCAAAGTGAAATAACATTTCCATTATCAGACGATTTCACTGATCTCCACCGACAGTAAATCCCTGTTGTGATGAATGGTTTGTCATTGTGTAATGACGGCACTGACATACTGCTGAAGCCTTTCTCCTGGTGTCGGGCTGAAATTAGCTGTCACTGGGATCCTCCTATCACACCCCTGGAACAAACCATTCTATTAATTATTCTGATGCTGCTGGATTGGCCCCTGTGATGTCAACATTACTGAAATAGTTCATGAAGAGCTTTTCTTAGACCTTAATCACCAAACAAAAGCATTATCTATGGAAAAATGCTCATTATGCAATTAATATTAACAGCTGAACAATTAAGGTTAGATCATGTCATAGAAGTGGCTGTTATTTTTGTGTTGGTGTGTTATTAATGTCACTAAATCAGGCTGCAGTGATTTTACTCCGTCTTACTCTTTAGTAATAGAACGATGTCAATGAAGATGTTTGCAGCGTCTTAAACAGATCGCCTGATTGGGAAAATGCTCTGATCGCCATTCCAGGTTTTCAGAGGAGGTGATGAGTTGGGAAAAGATGCTTTTAGGATCCGGAAATAGCCTGATTTAGGAAATATCAGGCTAGTGTCATTCCACTTTTGCTGCACGTCGGCCGGGTTTGATGCTAGACCCCCCCCAAACTTTCATTCCTCCTCGTTCTCCTTCTTCCTGAATCTGCTGTCACTGCCTTTTATTTTAATCACACCCTTTTCTGCCTGGTGCCTCCTCATTTTCTCGTTTGTATTTTTTTTCTTCATTTTTCCCATCAGAGGTCATGGCTTCGGAACTTTTGGTGACACTTTGACTGATGGGAGTGACATTTGCTGTCCCTGCTAGATGCCTCCAGCAACACATCGTCCCCTTCATGCATAACAATCTGGGAACACTTGTCAAGCTTCTCTCTCTCTCTCTCTCTCTCTCTCTCTCTCTCTCTCTCTCTCTCTCTCTCTCTCTCTCTCTCTCTCTCTCTCTCTCTCTCTCTCACATTAAAGGTGTAGCGTTGTGGTTTTAGGCTCTTTTATGAAAGAGGAACCATGCTACGTATTAATTCGGAATATTAATTTTTAATAAATCAATAACCAAATTTTATATTGTTAAGAAGACTCAAAGGTTGTTTTCATCGATAAACTGACGATAATATCTGTGTGTCTGTGTTTCAGTTCAATGAGGAAACCAGTTTGACAATTAAAAGTTTTAATTCTTCAAATTAAACTAATGATTTTGAAATTGACAAACAGAAAATAACAATCAACATTGGTAACTTTGTGGGACAATCTTTAACAGTTGATATGTTGTTCTTGCTCAAATAGACCTTCTGTTGGTGAATGAAGATTGAGAGTAATAGGATGTGGTTATGGATGCGTGTGTGCAAAGTGTAGTGAGAATTGAACATGAGGTGAGATGAATGCGTGTGTGCATCTGATTTTGCTTCAGGAAGAAACAGGTGTCTGAGTGAAAAGTGATGGTT